CGAGGGGGGGGCCGTGGGGGCGCGCGGCCGCTGGCCCACCTCTCCTTGCTGAGGTGATTCCTTTAAAGTCTTTAGGCTGCAGTGCACTCCGCTGGGGAAGGATGGTTTGGGGGTTTTATTTCCTTGACGACTTCTGTCACGATGCTCCCGCCCTACTGCTGCTGGTGATGTGGGTGTCTTCCTGCACAGCCGTTCCCCGGGCCTGGATCTGGACCGTAGCTATCTCCTCCGAAATAGCAGCCCTCAGTTCAAACCGTCCTGCCTACCTGAGGCGAGTCACTGCAAAACCTTGCAGCTCCCCTCCCTCGCCTGCCATGCAGATCTGAGAGTCGAGAAGGAACCGGGGCTAGTCTCAGCCCCTCCGAGCTTCGCAGGGAATTCAGATATAAATGCATCAGGATAAAAGACAGGAATTCCCCAGTGCCTGTGGCACTCCCGGGATCCTCTCTCAGCTTGCGCGCTGGGAATCTGGCGGCGAGAAAGGACTCGCCACTGGCACATAAATCACGTTCTCAGAAGCCTCACCCTGTCCCACAGGGAGGCTGTGCTCCCCACCAAGAAAGCTCCCCGAGCGAGGTAACAGAGGCAGCGTTGTCAGGATAAGTCAAGAGAGTCCTTGGTGTGGTAGGCAACCCCACAACCTGGTGTCCGTTTTCATCTAATGTGATCCTGGTATTTTATTTCCACTTGTAAAGCAAGCGCCAATGCGTTCACGGGCAGCTTGTCGCTTTTTGCTTCTAATATTTGATTCGTGAGCTGTAAAACAAAAGACCTCTGCAGTGACTTTAGTTCTTGGGGGTACCCCCTTCCTTTGGCCCGTCTCTGCCTCCTTTGCTCCTACATGCTGCTATTTAAAAGGTTTTACAATAGGCTCCTGTTTTCCTCTGCCAAACCGAGCTAACCGAAAGAACTGAAACTACAAGGAAGCGAGCATGGCTCTCCCTCTCTCCCTGCTACTCCCATGGCACGGGCTGGAAAAAGTACAATCCTGTAGTGACTCCGATTAAAAGACTAAAGGACGCGTGGTCCACACCGCCTTGCAAGTCTGAGGCTGTACGTGGAGCCGAGGGAGCAAGCTGGGGCTGCTGCATGGCGCTGATCCGTGACAGGAAGCTCCTATGCACTTTGCAACCTTTGGTGTCAGTGGAGGTGCCATCTCACAGAAAACTGTCCTACAGCCCCGAGGCCTTGCCAGCGCTATGATCTGCATATGCAAGTAGTCTGCCACTGGGTTACAAACCTTCCTGAACTGCTTTCTGAGAGCCGGAGATGCAGTCCTCACACCCAGTTAGCAGCATGAAACCAGCTTGCAAAAAAAGCATCCTTTTCCAAAGAACGGGCTGTGTGTGAACAGAGCTGGAAACCCCTGTGTCGGACCAGCTCGCTGGAAACCCCTGTGTCGCGTGTTACCTGGCATTACCAATAAACGTACACACCTTGCACCAGCCAAATACAAATGTTGCACCCTCAAGCCAGCAAGGGAGTTTGCTCCCAGCGGTGGATGAAAATACAGGGAGCTTCTGCAGTGAGTTTGGCGGTTGAACTACAGGGGCAGAGCAGTGCCCGTACCCTGAGCCACTGTGGTGGTTTCCCTCACTGCCGGTGAGTGAGTTGTACGCACTGTCTGAAAGGTCCCTCGTGGATGGCAGTGGCTGTGAGCTCCCTTCTCCAGTTGTGACAGCTCTTCCCTGCCTTCTACAGCTACAGTTAGTTGGGCTGTCACGTTCACAGCTGGACCTAGCCAAGAGTCTGCTTGACAGTGCTTCAGCAAAGCCACAGGAATTGCAGGGAGTCTGTTCTTTTAAAAAGCTGTTTATTATCACTGTGGACAAGTGAAAAAAAAAAAACCCAGTAATGCTGTATACAGAGAATGTCTTAGCAAATTACGAGCAAGTCTTAAAAAAAAAATAGTGGTTGTTTCTGAATTTCAGTAAACAAGGCTCTTGCTGCAAGCTGCAAATATGTAGCTGAGAAGCACTCTGCAAATAGCCCTTTAAGAGTACAAAGAAAGAAATGCAGCCTGAACTGCTGTGCCAGCAAACCAGGAAATTCAGCTGCTCCCACAGCAGCAACCAGTTTCCCCAGCTCCAGCTTCCCAAAGCTGTGACATGATGTGTGAAACAGCCCCGTTGCCCTGGGTAAGTTCGGAGCAGGAAGCTGTGAAACCCCTTGCTTTTGCCAATGCCAACCTGAGCTCTGCTCAGAGCTGCAGGACTAGCCTGAATGAGCTCTCGCTACTGGAAACCCACTCTGAAATGAGATTATGACTGGCACAGTAATCTGTACAGAACTGTACCCTACTTGGGGCTGAGCTTGATCCTGCCACTGCTTACTGTCTTTCTCTTGCAGCCCAGTAAACGTTCATGTCCCTGAAAACACTGGCCCGGATGCTAGGTTTGTAACCGACAGGCAGGTAACAGGATTTGCAACAGGTTTTAGCATGTCATCAGGCTACAGCTAGCTCCCCACACTGCTTTAAACCAAAAAGGGGCAGAGGTG